TGGGTCAATCCCCCCCCCCCCCCCCCCCCCCCCCTCCGAACTCCCCCCCCCTTGCCATCTCGTATGCCGCCCCCCCCCCCCCCCCCCCCCCCCCCCCCCCCCCCCCCCCCCCCCCCCCCCCCCCCCCCCCCCCCCCCCCCGCCCCCCCCCCCCCCCCCCCCCGAGTGGTCCACGAAAACAAAGCACAACGAGGCATCGAAAAGGGCGTTCGCTCGAGCCGGCCCGTTTTAGCAGCCCCCCCCCCGCTCGCCACCGCCCCGCCAGCTGGCCCTCGTTGCCGACCCACCCCGGCCCTCGCCGGCAAATCAGCCAGGCCAGGGGAGTCTAGATTGAAAAAGAGGACACCCGTACCACCATATGGACATGTGACGTGATAGGGTGATCGCCCCCGCTACTGCGGGTGTCTTAGGGTCCGCGAGGAAAAGACCAATGCGGCTGGGCCGGGTGAAAAGGAGGCAACGATCGCCGCGCCCACGTACACACGGCCAGAAGAGAACTCTGCAAACGTTCGGCAGGGAGAGAGGGAGAGAGGGCATACACATTCGCGTGTGTATAGGTGGTATATTACACTGTGCTGTACGCCAGCAGATGAGCACAGAGGGTCGAAAGGGAGGAAGCGAGGTTGCCCTCCAGACTCCCCTTGGCTCCCTCTTCTCGTGCACATGTGCCCGATCCCTCCCGCCCCCTCCAGAAAAAAAAGAGGGGAGGGGAAACAGAGGGACATGTGCCCAAACAGGCGACATCGGAGAAAGACAAGGACGGGGGTGCGCATGGCAGCGCGATGGTGGCGGTGGCGGTGGCGGCGCCAGGGTGAGGAGGGAGGACGAGGAGGAGGCGCGAGAAAGATCTGCCAGCAGGATGGGAAGCACGCGGAGGGGCACATCTCGCGGATGGACTTTCCCCCCTCTTGCCTGCCGTTCTCGGCCCCGAATCTCCACCCTCGCCCCTCCTCCAGAAGGGTAGCAGGGGGGAGGGGTGGGGAAAGAGAGAGAGAGAAGAGTGGACTAGAACCGCCTGAAGTCCATGTAGTCCTGGATGCGGCTGATGGTCCGCCAGACCGACTCCTCATGATTGCGCAGGTATTCCGACCGGAGGAAGAAGAAGAAGCACAGGACGCCAACAATGGCACCGGAGTAGAGGATGTCCAGCCAGCTGGCGAAGAAGATGATGCACGGAGACCCCCCCGGAGCCGAGAGGGGCAGGATAAGCTCGGCCCAGATGGACGACGGGAAGGTCATGAAAAGGGTGAGCAGGAATCCCACGACCAGCAGGATCTTGGCATTGGTGGTCGGAGTGAAGGAGGCATCGGTGATGGCGGCGCTGGTGGCGGCCGACCGGCCAGTCGGGCCAACGCCACGCCCATTCCCGAGAGAGTTGTACAGGACCGTGGAGTCCCCACCGCGGCAAGTGGCAAAGAGTCCATGCGGCGAAGTGGTAATGATGTATGTCAGGACCAGTGCCGGCATACGCAGGAGGATGCACGACCCGAAGAAGAACCAGTAGTAGGGGGGCTCATTCTTGAATGTCCTGGATACGAGCACATCCGCAAAGGAGGGAGGGGGAAAAGCAGGAGGTGGGGCATGCGTCAGAAAAGCCCAGATCCGGGGCCGATGGAGACAAAAAAAGCAGGGGGGGAAACGAGGGAGGAAGACAGCAGGCCCGCTGCCCCGGCCCCCCCCCCCCCCCCACCCGCCCGACGGCCAAGAACGTACACATTCAGGTAGGCAGCCACCAGAAAGACCACGAAGAGGAAAAAGTACAGGGTCTCCCAGCTGAGGAAGTAGGTGCGGAAGAGATAGGAGACCTGGTGCATCAGACCGGAGGATGGCTGTCCGGAGAAGTCGCCCGGCCCGGCGGCCGCATAGGGGGCGTAGTCCGGGTGCTGGCCATCCGAGTGGTGGTTGTTCACCGGGGCGTAATCATTGTAGGACGAGGGCCCGAGGGAGGGGTTCTTACCGGCGAAGACGCCGGACGCCGAGTCGGGACTGGTGTTGCCCGACCGATAGTGGTATTGGTAGCCCAGAGTCAAGGCCAGAGCCAGGGCGCCGAAGCCATCCAGCACGAGCGACGTGAAGAAGAGGGCCATATTCAGAGTGGAGCTATCTTCCACGATGTCCATGCTGTAGCGGATGGCCTCGATGATGGCGCTGTGCGTGTGGGTGCATTTGGTGCTGGTGGTCAGGCACATGTGCGGGCGCGGGCGCGGGCGCGAGCGAGCGGGAATGCAGGCGGGCGAGCAGGTGCGGCAGAGCAGGTGGCCGGACGCACCGCAGGCCGACAACGCCGAAAAAGAGGGCCCAAAGCGTGTTGTTGTTCTCAGGATAGCGGAAATTCAGGTTGAAGACCACCACGCTGTTGTACTTCCAAATGGTGACGGCCACCAGGACCGCGCACATGAAGAACATGGTGATGTTCAGGAAGACCACCGTCGGATAGGACATGTGGCCTGGGCAGGGGGGGGGTTGGTAAGTCGGGGGGCGGGGGAGGGGCAAGAGTCCGGCACATCTGCTTGTGCATGCGCGGAAATGGCGATGCCAGATGAATGAGCGCGTACCCAGAGAAGTGGTATCGGTCGGACAATTTGGAAGGGGAACACCGCCGATGGGATCAACATAGTTTGAGACAAGGCTTAGAGCAGACCCGGAAATTGCCTGCCCGAGGCCGGAGAGGGCGCTCGCCGCCATGGCTGCGGGGGAGTGGATGGAAAGGGAAACAGGAAAGAAGGGAAGAGGGGACGAGGCGGGAGCGAAGAGGAGGGAGCGGCGAGTGGGGAAGGGGCGGAGGGCAGATGGCGACCAGGGCCAGGGCAATCACGCCGGCCGGGCATGGTATCGGAAAAGGCAGACCCCTCCTCTGCTGGGTGAGGCGGGGGCGGAGCACACTCTATCGCAATAGAAGAGGCCCCCCCCCCCCCCCCCCCTCGCCTTATCCAAGCCTTAATGTGACAAACCGCCCCGGCCAGAGAGGAGGCCAATCGCGAGCCAGCCATGTTCCTGTGCCTGTCCTTGTGTGCGCACGCAGCGGGCTTGCCGCCGTCGGCTGACGAAGTGGCTCGTGCGGGTTGTCATGCGAAAAAAAAACGCGTTAAAAGGGATATTCGAAAATCAGCCCATCACATCCGCTGCCCCGCTCTCCAGGAAAAGGCGCAGTCCGATGGCAGGGGGGGGGGGGGGGGTATCGACTTGCCTCCTCGTCAATGTCCCCCACTTGTCCCTTCTTCTGCTGCCGCGCTTGGTGTAATACACCCGCCTGTGGCCCGCCCCCCGCCCCCTACCGGGGGAGACCCACCGGTCGCGTGGGCTGCCACAAGGGAGCGCTCTCTCGGCCCACCGTCCCGGCCCCACCCGCTCGGCGTCCGGCACCCGACACCCCCTGCTCTCGGCATGACCGGCCCCGGGCCGACCGGGCTCGCTGTGACCGCTCTCGTGGCCCTATCCCCCGCCCCCCGCCCCCGCCCCCGCCCCCCCCCCCATCCCCCAGAGCCCCCCCGGGCAGGGGAACGGCTCAGCCCCCGCTCCCCGGCCCACGTCACTAGAGCGCACCCCACGAGCTTGGGCCTTCTCTCGCTAACGCCCCAAGGCTTGCCCTTTGATAAGGCTCTGCCCCGGGCGGCACCGGTTTGTTACTGCCGCCCCCCCCCCCCCCCCCCCCACACCACACCACGCAGGCACGCGCACCCCGCCTCCCCAGTGCTTTCTCGTCACTCCTGGCTGGCAAAGTTGGCCCATCGGTATGAAGGGTGTGGCCCGGGGCCTCCTTGGCGGCCGGCGGGCCTGGTGTACTGGGGCGGGGCGGGGCGGGGCGGGCTCCAGGCGCGCGGATGCATGTGCGGGGGTCGAGGGCGGGGGGGGGGGCAGAAGACAGACAAGCACATAACAGCCGGCCATTTCCCACATTGCTGCGGAGAGGTGGGAACTCTTCGGGATATCACGCGCAGGGGTGTGGTCAGGTGTGGCGAAATCACGGCATGCATCCGCTGCCCGCCACAAAGGTCAATCCCGCCTGTAAAAGGCCCCCGCCCGAGGGTGTTTCACTTCCTCCCCGGAAGGGGCCAGGACAAATGCAGTGACTGTGGTGACATCTCCTCATCCTGCTTCCATCTCCCTCTTCGCCTCCTCCGCCTGTCCATCCGTCTGCCTGCCTCTATCTCTGCCCTCCTCCCCTTGCCGCGCACCTGCCCTTCCTGGCCCGCCTCCGCGGTCGAACGCCC